AAAAGAGTGGAAAATTATTTTGGGTCTAAGAATATTCAAAAAAAAAAAAAAAAAAAAAAAAACAACAACAACAACAAAAAAAACACAACAACAACTGATTTTTGGTGAGAATGTCAAGGGTACATTTTTTTCCTAATTCACATTTGGGTTTTAATTGGGAAACAGTGGGAATAACCTGTTGATATTTTCCTTGGTTTTTCACCTCAATTGAAAGTTCCTCCTACTTCTTATTTTTTCTACGTAGACATGTGACGTCCTGACCCACAAAAATAAGTTATTTCATATTCTAATCAAGTAGTTCTCAATTTGAGGCATTTCACAATATATAAATATATTTTTGGTTGTCACAGGTGGTGGGGGGAGCATACTGGCATCCAATGGGCAGAGGCAAGGGATGCTGCCAAACATCCCACAATATCCTTTGTTTTAGGATAGCTCCCTAAAACAGAGAATTGTCCAGTGCCAAAATGTCAATGGTGTTAAGGTTGAGAAACCCTGCTCTAACCTCAGGTCTGGTGCTTCTCTCTAAGTGTGAAGTAGAGAATTTTACTCTCTAATGAAGAAGACACTAAAATAGTTTAGTTCTTGAATATGGCCTTATTTGTAGTATGTTATGTTCAGTCTATTAATTTGATCTAACCTTCAATTTTATGTCAGTTCAAAATCTTGGTAACATTAAGAAGTTTTCAAATACTTTTAAACCTATAAACCTTGTTTGTATTTGGGCAATGGCTATGGTAGTCTTATATTTTAAAACAACTTTATGTTTTATCAAAAGCACTTAAGTCAAAAGCCTAGAAGTAATGTTGTAGAGTACTGATAATTAGACTATAATTTAAATCGAACTAAAATTTCTAGAACTGGACTTTAACTGGTGTTTGCCTTGTTTAATTGCATTAGTGTTTTGACAGGGGAGTAAAAGAATGTTTTAGCATTTCTCCCACAGTGGTGCACAAGGCTGTGTATATGATGAAATAACTGAAAACAGGCTTCCTCCAGATTCCCTTTGAAAAAACAATTCTCTAAATTTATCTAGGATTATCTCACTCTTTTTAAGATGGAATTGAAACTTCCTGCCTTTACTTCTCAACTTACAGTATAGTTTACAGAATACTAACTCTCTAAATGTGAAATCTTTTTAAAAAATCTGAGTATTTAAATTATTGTTTAAATAGTGATGAAACAAAATTGCAGAGTGTTGTTTTATGATGGCTCTGATTTGGTGGTTCCCTTCTGTGCCCCCTTCTTTTTTGTTAACAGGTGAAGACTCTTTGGATGATGTGTCTAGTGCTGACTCTATAATAGATTGGCTTGATTCTTTCGAACAAACAGAAAATGTGACAAGTGGACAAAGAGAACACCAATATTGGGAAGAAGTAAGTCAGGTTAATCCATACGGTGATTTTGGATTCAGTTCAGAAACATTTATTAATTTCAATAACAGTAACCGAAATCCAGAGAATGAATATACACCATCTACAAGATTTCTCAGAGGAGAAAACGTGGAAAACAGCCAAAGTCATGCGGAAAATCCGCAAGCTGAATCGACATTTACAAGACCTTCTAGATCAGAACAAAGTACACCTGAAGCATTAATGGAAGTCCCAACTACCAGAGGTCAACGAAGAGCAAGAAGCAGAAGCCCAGACCATCGTAGAACCAGAGCAAGAATTGCAAGTAGGTCACCTCCACGTTCACTGAGTGAAATGTTACGAAGACATCATCATAGTCTAGTATCTCCAACTTTTGAGCAGCCTCTGGTAAATGAGACTGAGAGATTTTCAATAACTCAGCACCAAGAAACATCAAGAGAGCAAATAACTGGAACTGAGCTGCAAAATGTGGGTCTTTCTGCAGCTTCAGGAACAAGTAATGCTGTTCAAGAAGAATCTTCTCCAGAAACAACCAGTGATGGTGACTCTTGGGAACTAATACAAATAAATCCGATCTTATGCTTCGATTCTGAAGAGGAACTAGTTCATCCTGAAAGAGACAGCATAGCTAGTGAAACTCTGATAACATCTGAAACACCAAACACTATCACTTTAGAAAGTGAACAAGGAGGACTTGGACATATGTTTTCACATTCTGAGCAGGCAGATATGAGAGCTTATGACAGTGCCATCGAAATTCCCATTCATAGAAGTCTAAATACTGGTTTAAATGATACAACACCTGTTGCCATTCAAAGCGACTTGTGGCAGATGACAGATTTTAGTGATTCAACTAACCTGCTCAACAGGGACAGTGATTTAGAGCCTAGTCACTCACCTTCAAGTCAAAGCATGGAAAGGGTAGAGTCACCCAATGGAAGAGATCAGTCTAATGATAGTAGGAGTTCTGCTTCCAATTCAAATCCTAGTTGTGATTTCAATTCAGATTCCACATTGGTTTCTAGTTCCAACTCCAATTACACGTCTAGTTCCAATTCTACTCCTATGTCTAGTTCTAGCTCAAGTGATGAAAATTCAGATATTAGCTCACTGATTTTTGAAGGCGATGATGAAAGAGGCTTATCACCAAGCTCATTGTCAGAAACTGGACGAGACAGTAATAGATCTATGTCCCCAGTAATATTTGATGAAAGTGACTCTTGGACCTCTCTTGATCTTGACCAGTTTTTTCTCTTAAGTGATGACCATAACCAACCTACAGGACTTACCAAAGCACAGATTGACAACTTGGCTACAAGGGCTTTTAGAAGCAATGATGCATTAAAAGCCTGTGGCATTTGCATCACAGAGTACTCAGAAGGCAACAGGCTTCGCATTCTTCCTTGCTCCCATGAATATCATGTCCACTGCATAGATCGCTGGCTGGCTGAGAACACTACCTGTCCAATTTGCCGTGGGAAAGTAGTAGATTCTGATGAGGGAGGCAATGCTAATTGAAATCTAATTTTTCAGCTATATAAACTGTTATAGTGATGGACAAACCACAGTTATCTGCATTAGGTCCACTTTTGGAGTGATACTTAAATATAACAATCTAAATCTAATCTAATTTTGAATCTAAATGTAACAGTTTGAACTGAATCATTGATTCGTGAAAAAAATGTTGGAATTTCCCCAATTTCTGTTTGAGAATAAAAGGAAATATTAAAAATTCAAACTATTGTCTTATCTGATAGTAAAAACAAGGTCACTGAATTTCAATAAAAACTTAGCAGGTACTCTGGATTGGGATGATCCTGATTCTGTAAGAAAAATGTCTCTTAATATGATATAATCAGTCCAGATAGATCCTAGTAGTCTTATCTAGTCATGTAAATCCCAGACATCTCATAGCCATGTCCTGTATTGGATGTGCAAGCAAAGAAATGGGAACCCAGTCAAAATAATAAAAAACCAATTTAAGAATTTATTAGAATCACTCATATTAATTAGAAGTCATGTTACATTCATAGAATTGTGTAAAAGCTTTGAAGACCTCTTACTAGCACTCTCCCCAGCAGTTTGTCACACCCTAATGCTATTGCCTTGAAGTTTCTCCCATTTCCCATTACCAATGTCAGTGAGATCCCTGGCTGAAAATTAATGGCACACTTGAAAAAGGTGATAGAATAGTGTTTAATGAAGAGACTACTTACTAAAGTGTGTAAGGAATGAAGGGGAACCAAGAGATGATGAAGCACCCTGAGGCTAGCAACCACAGTACTATCATCTAATATTACCACCATTAGACTTGAAGGGGCATAGAGAGATAGTAGTTCCTGCAACCCAGAATATCCTGTACTTGTAATAGAAGGCCACTCAAGAACTGTGACCTTAAATAGTCAAATGGCAACCACTGCCAACCTGAAGTGTGGGGAGTTCATAGAAATAAATACCTTTCTTTCCTCCTGACTTCTAATCTCCTGTTGGTAGTTCGCAATAGCTAAACCCAACCTGAAGATACTGAGCAAGAGAGACTGGTTGATGAAGTTAATAAAAGTAAGCCTCCTGGAATCATAGAGCAGGGTAGAGGAGTATGGCAAGTGTATCTGAAGAGAAAATCAAAAAAATCTACCAAAACCTGCATTCCCAACTCTCTTCAAACCCAGTCTGTCTATGCTTTCTTGTCTCTTCCTCTTATTCTCCATTTTCTGCTCTTTGACTCAGCTCTTTAACAGACTTCTTAATTTTCCTTTCATTTGCTCAGGTCTTGTATGATAAAGGCTAGAGAACACGTACATTTTATCTTTAGAAGTAATGAGATGACAAACCCTTAGAACTTAATTACCTTTCTCTTAAACACATCACACTTGGGCTTAATGTGATTGTAAACAACTAAAGAAAAAGGGTGGTATAGGTATTTCTTTAATTTTTGCTTCATGAATATGTTTAAGTTTCAATTCATATATATGTTTAGTTCATATAATTATTTTTCAAATAGATCCTTATTTCTTACAGTTTTATGATTTATATATGCCTCTTAATCTTTGTGTGAACAATCCAAAGCATCCAATTGCTGCTTAGAGCCTCTCAAGTTGCAATCTGAAAGCCTTAAAAGTAAAACCTGAGTTCAAAACATGCCTATGTAATTCAACTCTAATTGTCCCCAGTAAAAGTATCACCCTGAATCATGACTATTTAAACTCATGCTTCCTTTCCAATCCAAATATAGGGAAGGATTTGTCTCCTAATGCAGCCTGAAAAAAAAAAGAATTATATATAGGCCAGTCTAGCAAATTTTGCTTAAAATTTTTAATCCTGGTTTAGGTGAAAGTACATTGTACTAAAACCTAAAGCAATAGTCACAATAGTCACAAATTTTGTACAATATGCTACCTATATAAATGTTTTAAGTACAAACCTGCTCTAGAAATGTAAAGTCAGAATCATCACTGACCTTTATTTTCTATGTGAATTGCCAGTAGCCACAGTAATTGCACAAAACTATAAAATATAAGCAGAGAATGGTGGTGAATTTTAATACATCTTTGAGTTAGCATATTTTTCAAACAGAAGATACCTGCAAGGCGGGAAATGAAGACTTAAGATTAGTCCTCTAAAATTCCACATTAGATTCTGTAAGTTCTGTGAATATTCTGTTTTTTATTATTTCTGATACAAGATCTACTTCATTTAAAGTAGAATAATTATAACAGTAGCTGGCTTTCTCGCTACCCTAACAGGTTCTAATCTTCCAAAGGATAACAACTGCCTAATTAATGCTTCAGTACATTAACATATGCCTTCTGTGATAGACAGAATTCTAAGGTGACCTCCAATGACCCTTATAGTAGTCCCTCCCCTTGAGTATGAGACCTGTGAATGTGATGAAATATCATTCCAATTATTAGGTTATTATATATGGCATAGTTGATTAGGAGATTATCCAGAGTGGGCCTGACCTAATTAGGTGAGTACTTAAAAGGCACAGAGAGGACTTCCAGTCCAAATAAGTTGCTTTATACTCCTCTCTCCCTGCTCTTCCTCTATCTTAGGAATATGATAAGACAACCAAAGAAGAACCATGAAAAGTCTAAAGAAAAAGGTGAATTGGCTAGGGACCCTCAGAATAGGTGAAGAACTTCAATGGCAGGGCATCTTATGACCTCCCTCTCAACAGAAAAAGGTGGCCCAGGCCCAGCATTTCCTAATACCCAATTTAGCAACAGGAAATACCTCAAAAAGGCTCTTCTACCATATCAAACGGAAGTCTTACTGAAAACACCAGGTGAGCCCTGCAGAAGCTGCAAGGAAGAATAATTGGAAGCTCTGCTAACAGTAAGTGACCAAGAAAAAGTGTTCTCCTTCCCCACGGGCCTGAGACCCCCATTCCCCACCCAGACATACCATTGGCTAAGGGTACCAGTGAATGTGATCCTACCACAAAAAAAAAAAAAAACAACTCCCACCTGAAAAATGTTCTTCTCAGCTGGGCCTGAGACTCCTCTCCCCTACCCAGAGACACCAGGGAACCTGCTTGTCACAGCAACAGGGATGCCATCACAAAAAAACTCTCAACTTTGCAAGCACCCTCCATTCCTTAGTCAGGGGATATCCTGCAACAAGTACCTGGCCAGGAAGTGCTCTTAATCCAAGTGGACCAGGGATTCCCTTCCCATGCCTAGAAGCCCCAGGTACCCTGTCCTGGGGAAGCTTATTCTGCATCCTTAAGCAGCATGAGCAGGGACCAGTGGTAAATCCACCTGCACAACATAAATCAAACAGAACAAAATAGTACCACAAAGGTTCTGAAAAACAGATGTTCATAGAACCACAGTCCACAAAAGTAGAGTAGGAACAATGTGCCAAATCTAAATGAGTGAATGCCTGCCAAAACTTAAAAAAAAAAAAACTTTAAATAGGAACCAAAGTATCCTAACATAATAGCCAAAATGTTCAACAGACAATAAAATAACACCTTTCATACCAAAAACTAGATGCATGACAACTTGATAGAGAAATGACAAATGATGTCAACCCCAAGTTGAACTAGATGTTAGAATTATCTGACAAGGATTTTAATGCTGATTTCAGGCCTTTCAGTCACAAGACCCAGTCACCCCATGCCGGTATTCTAACCTGTGAGCTAATTAAGGGAATATTGTTTTAAGCCACTGTATTTGAGCTAATTTCTAATGCAGCAACAGAAAACTAATACAATTTCTCATCTAGGATCTATTTTATGCCCAGGAAAAGATTATAATGAGTCCTAGACAAGTAAATAGCTCAATGTCTTGGTTCTATGCCTACTATGACATTATAATCTTGGTCCTGCAGAAAAAAGCAATTCTTGACCTAGGAGCACCATTTTTCCCTAGAATGAAATCCCTAATTCCTGCTATTGAAGCTCCAACAAGGCGATACCCCTCCTGTTTGTATAACTACCATTATCTTATCACTCTAACTTTGCTTCACATCAACCTATCCCAATCTACCAGTGTACACTGCTTATATCATAAGCTCAATTCAATACCCTCATTTTCAAACTATGTAGCCACCTATTTTTCTCAGAGTGACTGCTGTATTATATTGATCTCCCAAGTCACGTTCTTCTATATCTGCCCTGCTAAATATCAGAAGTTGGGAAGATTTGAATCTGAATCTTCCAAGCTCCACCTGCTCTGATTTTTTTACATTACAATCTATCACTTTAAATCCATAGCATCAATCATACATATGACTGTAAGCACAAATATTTCCATCTTAAGAATTTTCTCTGTATTTTCTTTCTAGCTTTTTAAAAATATTTATTTATTCTGGCTTATTTTCCAAAAAATAAAAATAAACCTTATCTGACTAATAAATTATTTTTGAAAGGAGTTAGAGTAGGTCTCTGATAGCAATATAAAGTGTGTTTCTGGCTAACCATGAAAATAAGTGGTGCTCTCAATATTCTATGAAGAATTAAGTATAAAGATTCTTCTGTAAGTACAAACAAGCTTGAGCACCTACTAATATGACCATCAAAACACTGCATGTACTAGAATATTCATGAAGAAATGTGATGTTTCTGTTGAGTAATATCACCTGTTATCAATATAATTTGAGATCTTCAGTATCTTTATCTTCAGTATCTTCTTTATAATAATTAACCGATCATTCTTTTCATTATATGAGAGGTAAATGTGCAGCCCCTTCTATGATCAGATTTCTGGTGTGAAAATTTTGAATGGAAATCTGAACTATATTTCTTTTCTGCAACTTCATTTAAGATTTGAACATCCCCATCCTAACTCAGGCTTTTTCATTATGAAATAGTGAGAAAACCTTGGTGTAATATTTGAAACTCTCCATTTTCAGTCATTAAGCCAGTATTTTTAACAACAAGCAAAAATGTGGGGGCTTGGAAAAGCATTTTCTAGAAGATTCTTTTTTTCCTATCCACCATTCATACAGGACAGATACTAATTATCAACTAACTCTGGGTTCAGGGTTATCTATTCTGACATCTCTAGTCA